TATATATATAATATATGTATATAAAATATATATATTATTATGTTAGAGTATAGTGTTAGTAAACATGTATATTTATTGTATAATAATAAATCTGTATAATTGCGCGCGTGCCTGCGCGTGTGTGTGTGCGTGTGCGCGCGCGCGCGTGTGTGTGTGTGTGTGTGTGTGTGTGTGTGTGTGTGTGTAATAAATACATATATATAATAAAACATCGATTTAATAGTGCGATATAAGCTTATTCAGATGTTTATATCAATCAAAGTATTAATTTTTCAATAATTTCTTTAATTATTCCATTGTGAAAACAATGTAAATTTATCTCCAGAAATTTGTCATCCTCAAAATAATATACTACGGATAAAAAAATAACGTCAAATATGCTTTGCCATCTTCCATAACGGACAAGAAAATAACGTCGAATACGCTTTGTCATCTTTCATTGGACCACAATATGATTCGTCGAGCAACTAAAACGATTGGCTCTTACTTTTAGATCTGACGATCCGACAAATCTCATTCGACGTGTTCAGCGTCAACGAATTGTCACGTCTCAGGCATGTAATACCCACGGCTAATTTGCTAGGCAAAAACCAATCGTGTTCGATCCATTCAATCACCGTTCACGCTGCCGTTAGCCTCACTATTATTTCCGTTGAACGTAATCTACTGCGTCAATTGTTTCGGAAAAGGTTGCTTTCTAATTTCGATATTACGGTACTGTGCTGCGAATGAATTGATCTCTTAGGAAAATCGAAGTTGACGCGATTTGAAACTAACATAAATTAATTAATTTTTTCCAATTGCGAACTTGGTTTTGCTATGCGAGTGTAACGCGTTTTCCTGTGTCATTTTCACAATTACACCGGTTACAACATGGTGGTTGGCTGTGATATTCAATATGATACTCCGTAGGTGCAAATGTGATGTAAACTTAAGAATTGACAAAAGAGGAGTCTCATGCACTTAAATATATAATAACTTAGTTTTAATCATAATTAGTATTCTTCTATGTCTCTGGCATGCATAAAATATTTTCATTTAAAAAGTATTATATGCGTATAAATAAGAAAAAATTTATCCCACATTTTTAACTTTCAAATATGTAGAGAATATGTGCAAAGATGTTTGTTTCCTTTTATCAATATATACATGAAAAAAATAAAAAAAAATTATTTCTTTTTTTTTATTCCTTTTTAGGAATGTTATGATAAAAATATGGCTGTTTTTAATTTTTTTCTAAATTGTTGTTTCCCACAAGTGAGTGAGGATTATTTTATTTTCAATTTAATTTGAATTTTAATGAATTAAAAATACTCTATTATTTGAAATTTGTATAGAAATTTTAAAAATATAATTTGCTCATTATAATGTCGTGTACTAACTTAGATATGATATAATATTTGAAGAACGAAATGAAAGAGAGTAAATGTTTAGCCCTACATAGGACTGCAGAAGGTCATAATTATAATTACTTGAGAAATAATGAATCTGAAATTTTTTAATACAAAAATATTAAGCGATATATGTTTTATGGCAGAATATTTTTTGTTGCAGAATTAATGAATAATATAAACTCAGAAGATTTTAATGAAGTTCGATTTTCGTTAATCGAAAAATGGATAAGACAACATGCCCCCAAACATATAAAGAAATCGATCAAAGCATTGTCAAAATTGAGATGGAATCTGAACAAAATTTCAAGCCTGAAAATTTAAATATTAATTTTGTGGAAGTTCCCTCAATAGAAGAACACGCTGATGTTACCATTTTGCCGACAAAGTTTAGAGGTAGAAGTAGAGGTAAAGGCAGAGGCAGAGGTAGAGGGAGAGGTAGAGGTAGATACAGCAACAATTCACAAATCTCAGCCTCACCAAAGCAAAGTCATTCCACGGATATGAAGGCAGCTTTGAAGAAGGACCGTTTTCGCCCAATTCGGCCGAAGCCTTTACAACCTGTTACTTCGACTATATTAAGACATAAATTTGGATTGCCAATAATGAATATGACTACTTTATCATCAAATCGTGTTATTCTACCAAGTCCACTAAAAGAAAAAGTAACCATTGCACGCGTTACACGCGTTACACCTTTAGATGAATCTGACAAGATAAAAAATATCAAACCAATTAGCAATGACAACAATATTTTGCAAAACAAAGATGTTTTTAGTAGCGATATTGACAGTAAGACCATTAACACAAGAATAGTCAATAGTAAGACTATTAACACGACAGCTGTCAACAGTAAGACTATTAACGTCAGTAATAAAACTGAAACCATAAATATTGTACCAATAACCGATCAAAGTAAAATTGATAAAACTGTGAAAACTGAAAAGTCAAACATCATAGCAAAAAGTAATTGTAATAATAATAATAATACTGATAATAGTCGTAATAGTAATAATAATAGTAGTAATAATAAGAGTAATAGTAATACTAATAGTGATAAAAATTGTAATAATTATGATAAAGACTTACGTACTAGTAGTAAAACAATATCCAAATCTAACAAGAACAGTATTGAATTATTTTTTGAGAGCATGGCACAGACTGTATTGAATTTACCTAACGAAGTCCAAGCAGATATTAAAATGCAAATTTGCAAAATTGTTACCAAGGCAGAGATTGAATTCTGTGGATCTCAAGTAAAACGCAAGACTAAATATTAAATTTTAAGCATATATTAACAATGTGTTTATTATTATCAATAAATTAGAACTTATATTCAAATTATAATTTCTTTTACACAGACTAAATTTTCCAAGATGTAGAACAGGCCTGGAGCCAAGTTGCACATTTCGACCGATTTTGCCTACCGTCATCCCTACATAGAGAGAATTTTGTTTCAAAATTTACCCCGAAAAGGTTATACAATATAATAATATTTTAAAGATTTTTACCGTACATTTCAGTAAAATTAATCGAACTTATTTTATACTTTATTAGTACTGTAGTAGTATTATATATAAATGAAGGAAAAATAGTTTTATTAATGAATGAAGAAAATTTACTTTAAAATGTTGTCTTAGAAATGCAATGTCCCACAACTATCATATTTTTAGGATAAACTTTAAGAAAAAATTCTCTCCGTGTACTCCTTTTGTTTCATAGCGTTTAGACCAGTGTTGGGATTTACTTGCACATTTCGGTCGATTTTTAACTTCTTGCCCTTTACACGCGTAGCATAAATGTCGATCGGCATTTCGAATTTTATATTTCAAGTACTATAGCCTTACAGTGCTCTGTACGATTTACAGCTATTCATGAACTATCATTTTATGTCTCCGTGCACAGTTTAAAAGTTATGAAAAGGAGTAGGAATGATGGTAGGCAAAATCGGTCAAAATGTGCATAGAGGCTACAGGCCTATGTAACGATATAGGATATAATCTAAATTGCTATTAGAGATTTTGAACAAATCTATATGGGCAATCTTGAAATAATAATTTTACCCAAACAATATAAAGTCTAAAATTGCGACATAAAGACGTCCTTAAGTGGTCTTTTAGACGCAAAAGACGTCTTATAATCCGATTTTAAACACTTTTTGCTTTCTGGGTAGTTATATCTCAGTAGATATATAAACAAAACGTAAACGGCAAGAAATTTAGACAGTTTTCTTGCATTTATATTTTGTTTGTCAAAATATATTAGTACAATTTCCAATAACAAAACGTTAATTTTATTTTTTAAGCTCTCATAATTTTAAGTTGATAATATTAATAAATAATTTATAATTACATTTCTAAGAAATACAATTATATACAATTTTTTTTATCATAATGTATTTATTTCTTTTCTTTAATCTTTAATAAAAAAAAAATCCACAACATAGTTCTTCAAGCGATGTCCTAAAAATGTCCCTAGGATATCTCTCGGAGAACTTTGTTATGTGGGAATATTTTGATGGATAGAAACACTCATTGATACTGAATTAAATTGGATTACAAGATAATTACATATGTAGTAAATTTTATGTGCACTCTTATATTTTTAAATGTTGACTGCAATTTGTATTGTAGGACATGTG